GTGTGCTGCAGCTGCCAAAAAAGCCAACACAGTGCTAGGCTGTATTAACAGAAGGATAGAATCAAGATCATGTGAAGTATTAATACTACTTTACAATGCCTTGTAAGGCCACACTTGGAATACTGCATCCAGTTTCGGTCACCGCGATGTAAAAAAGATGTTGAGACTAGAAGGAGTACAGAGAAGAGCAACAAAGATGATTAGGGGACTGGAGCCTAAAACATATAAGGAATGGTTGCTGGAATTGGGTATGTCTAGTTTAACGAAGAGAAGGACGAGGGGGGACATGATCGCAGTGTTCCAATATCTCAGGGGCTGCCACAAAGAAGAGGGAGTCAAGCTATTCTCCAAAGCACCTGAAGGCAGGACAAGAAGCAACGGGTGGAAACTAACCAAAGAGAGAAGCAACCTAGAACTTAAGGAGAAACTTCCTGACAGTTAGAACAATTAACCAGTGGAACAACCTGCCTCCAGAAGTGGTGAATGCACCAACACTGGAAGTTTTTAAGAGACTGGACAGCCATTTGTCAGAAATGGTATAGGTAGGGGTTTCCTGCCTGAACAGGGGGTTGGACTAGATGACCTCCAAGGTCTCTCCCATCATCATCATCATCATCATCATAAACCTAATAACCAAAATTCCCCTTACCTCAACATCTCCCTTTAATCCTCTAATTGGCAATATAAAATCTCCTCTAATGAGTCAAAATCCCAGTTTTTCAATCTTATTCTAGTTTTCTTCTTTTGCCAACTAGGCTTCCATATCAGTGCTTTTAAATCAGGGGTAGTCAACCTTGGCTCTTTTATGACTCGTGGACTTCAATTCCCAGAATTCTTGAGCCAGCCATGCTGAGGGGAAAGGGAGAGGTTTCCATGCTGGCTCAGGAATTCTGGGAGTTGAAGTCCACGAGTCATAAAAGAGCCAAGGTTGCCTACCCCTGCTTTAAATCATCAAATAGATCTCCCTCTATTCTTACATATGTTATTTGAATTAAGGGAGACCATTTGATTACCAATTTTCTGGAAGGACTAGCCCATTTGTATCCATTAAGTTTTCTCCCTGTTATTCCAATTCCCCATGTTTGCTCTAATATATTTATCTTCAATTCAATCTGTTCTATTTCTCTCTCAATTTTCTTCTGAGTTATATAGAAAGTCATTTCCATTTTCAATATTGTCACTTCCTTTTCCAAATTTTCCATCAGGTGCATTTGGTGAATTGGGTCCTCTCTCTTCATATTGGGTTGTCCCGCTTCTTCTGTTATCTTCTGCATTGTTGGTCCTTTGGTTGTAGTCAAAATGTGGCTTTCTGCATCTAAGGAAAATCGGATGTGGAAGACGGAGTTGCCGTCAAAGCAACAGCCGCGTCATCGGCCAACCTGAAGCCTGAAATGAATGTGCCCTTTGATAGGGCTTATCAAAGTTGTGATAAGGCACACCTGTGTGAATCAGGAAGTCTGGAGGCAGATAAGAAGTTAAAAGAATTGTCTATGGGTCACTCTCTGTGTAAGACATCAGTATAATTTACAGTTCCGTGATTAAATCCAGCCACCTGTGAACTCACCTACTTGTGTCTTTTTTAAAAAATAAAGATTTTATTGATTTTCTTTTACATACATATGTTAATTTTTCAACCAACGAGCTGTCTGGGATTAGCTATGCTAATACATATTCGATTCCTAATCCTCTAACCAATAATAAAATAAGTCCCAAGTTTGGTAGTAATCTGTGTCTTCTTTATCTTTCAATCTCATGGTTAATCTGTCCATCTCTGTGCATTCCAATATTTTTCTGATTATTTCTTCCTCTGATGGTAGTCCTTCATTCTTCCAATATTGTGCAAAGATTATTCTCGTGATGTGTAAAATCAAATATAGACTTTGCTTATTAATCTTTTCAGGCATTATACCTAGTTAAGAAAAGTTCAGGTTTAAAATCAACATGTTCACCTAATATTTTTTCTAACCACGCATGTATCTTTTTCCAATAAGCCTTTGCTTTGCCACATGTCCACCCAATGTGATAGTCGTGCCTGAGTTGTGCTTACATTTCCAGCATCTATCTGACATGTTTTAAACATTTTTGCTAATCTTGCTGGTGGCAAGTGCCATCTATAAAACATTTTATATAAGTTTTCTTTATATGAAGTTGACATTGTTAATATGTAATTGCTCTCCCATAGCTTTTGCCACTTTTCTAGTTCTATATTGTAGCCAAAGTTTTTCGCCCATCTTATCATTGTTTCTTTAACTTGTTCATTTTCCATTTCCAAAATTAACAAAAAAAATATACATTTTCTTAAGTAATTTCTCATCTGAGGTTAACAAAATCTTATCAAATACAGTTTGATCTTTATAGAATCCATACATTTTCACATCTTTTTCATATCTATTTTGCATCTGTAAATGTGCCCACCACGATAGGTTGATCTCAATTTTCCAGTTCTTGCTTAGATTTTAAATTCCCATCAATATTTAGAATATCTCTATGTGCCCATATTTTTTCAAAATCTATCAAGTTCAGCTGTACAAATGCCTCCATCGTTGATAGCCACCCTGGAATTTTTAAGTATATTTTAGCTTTAATTTTCCCCCATACTATTAACAAGGCATTTCTTATATACCCGTATTTTCTGGCGTATAAGACGACTTTCTAAAGCGTGGAAATCGGCACCAAAGTTGGGGGTCATCTTATACGCCGAGTCGTCTTATACGCCAGAAATTACGGTAGTTTCCAGCGTATAAGTCGACTTTCTAGGCATGGAAATCGGTTCTGAAGTTGAGGGTCGTCTTATATGCCGAGTCACCTTATACGCCGGAAAATACGGTAGTAGTTTTGGAAATACTTATGAGCTCTGTTTATTCCATACCATAGAAAAGCATGCCATCCCAATTGTAAATCATGCCCCTCTAAATATAACAATCTTTTATTTCTAAGCATTATGCATTCTTTCACCCAACTGAGTCCTCTGTCTTCATATCGGGTTGTCCCGCTTCTTCTGTTATCTTCTGCATTGTTGGTCATTTGGTTGTAGTCAAAATGTGGCTTTGTGCATCTAAGGAAAATCGGACGTGGAAGACGGAGTCGCCTTCAAAGCAGCAGCCGCGTTGTCGGCAAACCTGAAGTCTGAAATGAATGTGCCTTTTGATAGGGCTTATCAAAGTTGTGATAAGGCCAGTGCTTTTTTTGTTAAAAAAAAAAAAAAGGTGCCAGAACTCACACACGTTATACAACCCTCCTTGCCTACCCTACAAGGTTCCATCCAAAAAAGGTGCCAGAACTCTGTTCTGGGTGTTCTATGACAAAAAAAGCCCTGGATAAGGCACACCTGTGTGAATCAGGAAGGTTTGGAGGCAGATAAGAAGCTAAAAAGCTCTATAAAGAAGTGTCTGTGGGTGTCTATAAAGCTCTATAAAGAAGTGTCTGTCTCTATTAGACATCAGTATAATTTACAGTTCCGTGATTAAATCCAGCCATCTGTGAACTCACCGACTTATGTCTTGTTGGAGCCAGGGGTATGGTAAGGACTTTTGACATTATGTGGCTGTGAGAGGGTGCCTGTTTTCTTCTCCCCTCCCACAAACTTTAGGAAGTTGGGGGGAGGGAGAGGATCTTTGGATTAATTGGAAAAACCCTAAAGAGGTGCCTTGTTGCGAAGGGGTGGGAGGAAAAGAGTCGGTGGGTTAAGCACCTCAAGGCCACGGGGGAGCGGCAGCAGGTGCATTCAAGGTGGATAGAGAAACTCCATAGGACTCCTGTAGGTATTGGTCCCTGAGTGACTTTCCTCCCAAGCCATTACAACTGGGAGAAGGCTGGGAGAGGGAGGGGGAGAGAGAGTGAGGCAAGAAGAGAGGGGCAGGGGGGAGCAGGGGGAGACAAGGAGAGGGGAAGCAGAAAGGGGAAGAGAGAAAGAGGGAGGCAGGGAGAAAGGGAGAGAAAGAGCCAGGGAGAGAGGGAGAAGATAAGGGAGGGAGGTAGGGAGAGGAGAGAGGGAGAGAGAGAGAAAGGGGGGAAGAGGAGGGGGGGAGGCCGGGAGGGAAGCAGGGAGAGGAGAGAGGGGGAGGCAAGGAGAGGAGGAGGGGGAGAGAGAGGGTGGAAGAGGAGAAAGGAGGGAGAGGAGAAGGGAAGGGAAGCAGGGAGAGGAGAGAGGGAGGGAGGCAAGGAGAGGAGGAGGGGGAGAGAGAGGGTGGAAGAGGAGAAAGGAGGGAGAGGAGAAGGGAAGGGAAGCAGGGAGAGGAGAGAGGGAGGGAGGCAAGGAGAGGAGGAGGGGGAGAGAGAGGGTGGAAGAGGAGAAAGGAGGGAGAGGAGAAGGGAAGGGAAGCAGGGAGAGGAGAGAGGGAGGGAGGCAAGGAGAGGAGGAGGGGGAGAGAGAGGGTGGAAGAGGAGAAAGGAGGGAGAGGAGAAGGGAAGGGAAGCAGGGAGAGGAGAGAGGGAGGGAGGCAAGGAGAGGAGGAGGGGGAGAGAGAGGGTGGAAGAGGAGAAAGGAGGGAGAGGAGAAGGGAAGGGAAGCAGGGAGAGGAGAGAGGGAGGGAGGCAAGGAGAGGAGGAGGGGGAGAGAGAGGGTGGAAGAGGAGAAAGGAGGGAGAGGAGAAGGGAAGGGAAGCAGGGAGAGGAGAGAGGGAGGGAGGCAAGGAGAGGAGGAGGGGGAGAGAGAGGGTGGAAGAGGAGAAAGGAGGGAGAGGAGAAGGGAAGGGAAGCAGGGAGAGGAGAGAGGGAGGGAGGCAAGGAGAGGAGGAGGGGGAGAGAGAGAGTGGAAGAGGAGAAAGGAGGGAGAGGAGAAGGGAAGGGAAGCAGGGAGAGGAGAGAGGGAGGGAGGCAGGGAGAGGAGGAGGGGGAGAGAGAGGGTGGAAGAGGAGGAAGGAGGGAGAGGGAGAGGAGAAGGGAGGAAAGCAGGGAGAGGAGAGAGGGAGAGGAGGAGGGATGGAGGCAGGGAGAGGAGGAGGGGAGAGAGAGAGAGAGAGGAAGGGGGGGAGGGAGGCAGGGAGAGGAGAAAAGGAGAGGGAGGGAGCCAGTGCGCCTGGATCCTGCAGAGTCCTCTTCGCCCTCCGCTCACGTGTGCTGTAATTGTAGTCCTTGCCAGTAGCGACCGCCCTGGTTGGCGAGCTCCTGGCGCTGTTCACCCGTTATCTCTGCAGCTGGCCCGGGAGATCGTAGTCTCCGGCCGAGGGGCGTCGCCGCCCGCAAACGCAGCAGCAGCAGCAGGAGAAGCTGTGAAAGCAGAGGCGGCCGGCGCGCTCGGCAGCTCAAGGTGACTTCTGCCGCACCCGAGCTGGCTGGTGCGTCTGGCTCAGAACTTGGCGGCGGGGGCTTTGGGGAAAGGTCGTTTGGGACCGCGGATCGGGGGCGGGAGGGCTTCGGTTCGGAAAGATGCACCTGCTTAGTAAAATAGCCTTCCCGGATTGCCGGCTGGAGATAATGGGAGCTGCGATCCGGCGCGCCTCAGGGTGACAGAACGGTGGCCTGGTGCGAACGAGCAAGCTTTTAAACGCAACACTTGCATCCGACTTTTTGGTCCGCAAGGGAGACCTTTGAGAATAGACCAGGGGTCCCCAACCTTGGCAACTTTAAGACCATGCTGGCTGGGGAATTCTGGGAGTTGAAGTCCACAGGTCTTAAAATTGCCAAGGTTGGAGACCCCTGGAACAGACTATTCTCTCTATCGTATAAAGGGTAGTTCATACGCTTCTGTCGTCGTTTGTTCAGAAACACCAGAAAAGCAGCCGGGGTGTCATTTTCCTTTTAAGATTGGTTATTTATTTATTAAAGTTATATGCCGCCCACCTTGCTATTTTCAAATCAGTACTTTAAGCTATGCGCTAGTCATTTATTTTTTTTATTCCTGGAAAGCTTTTACAGTAGTCAAAACGTTTATTATGCATATAAGAATTTTTGCTGTGCAGTAACTGGGCTGCTGTTCCATAGAGTATGATTGGGTACATTTTCTACTCCGAATCCTTTGCTTTCCAACTTTTTGCATGTCTAATTAGCAAGGGAAGATGGAAGAGCTGCATACATTTTTTTTGTTGTTCAGTTGTGGTAGGAGCTGCATCTCCGGAAAGGGGCAAAACTTGGTTGTTGTGGTGAATTGATGGCATCCATTCTGGTTTTCAATTGAGTCTTGTAGACGTGAGAGGTTTGCATCTGGAGAAAAAGGCACTCTGCACATAGTCAGAGGCACTAGTTTCTCGCATCAACCTAGGGCCTAGGCTAAACATTGCAGTTGAAAGCAAGCAAACAAAAAAAGGTTGATTAATCCTGGCTCAGGTAAGCAAAATGCGGTGCTTTAAAGGCTGTTCCTCTGTAGCATGCCAAAATTTGTGTAGAGTTGTATGATACGGTGTTTGTGTAATCAAAAGCCACCATTTTAGAAATCAAATTGCAGACATAAGGGGCTTAACTGGAATGATTCTCCCACCCCTGCTATCTGTACTCTTGTTTTTAAAGAAGTGATTCATGTATGGAACTGGGAGCATTATTTAGTTTGGTCTTGAGGGCATTTTTGTACTTGTAGGGTGAGGTGTAAGCTTGTAACTCACAACAAGTACCGGCAAATATAGATCTATTTCAGTTAATATGTTATGATGATTAAATGCCATAGAGGTAATGCCAAATATAGATTTTAAATGTTTATCAGCAAACCTTAATCTATAATGTCAACAAGAAGAAAGAATCAGAAAGGGATAATGCTGTCTCTGAGGCAATATTCTTCGTGACAATTGATGGTGGTTAGCTTAGTCGAAAATGTATAATCTGTCTATGCGGCGTTTCTCAGCCTTGGTGGCTTTAAAGTGAGCTGGAATTGCTGGAATTGAAGTTCACCCCTCTTAAAGCCACCAAAGTTGAGAAATACCGCTCCAGGTAGTTCTCAATTTACAACCATTCATTTAGCGACCGCTTGAACTTTACAGCAGCACTGAAAAAAATGACTTCTGACCAATCTTCCCATTTGCTGGAATTGGGTATGTCTAGTTTAATGAAGAGAAGGATGAGGGGGGACATGATAGCTGTGTTCCAATATCTCAGGGGCTGCCACAAAAAAGAGGGAGTCAAGCTATTCTCCAAAGCGCCTGAAGGCAGGACAAGAAGCAACGGATGGAAACTAATCAAGGAGAGAAGCAACCTAGAACTAAGGAGAAACTTCCTGACCATTAGAACAATTAACCAGTGGAACAACCTGCCTCCAGAAGTGGTGAATGCTCCAACACTGGAAGTTTTTAAGAAGAGACTGGACAGCCATTTATCTGAAATGGTATAGGGTTTCCTGCCTGAGCAAGGGGTTGAACTAGATGACCTCCAAGGTCCCTTCCAACTTTTTATTTTTATATTATTATTATTATTATTATGGATCATCGCACAGTCAGCCAGATGTTCAGACTGGATTTGGCATTTTGTCTACCTATCGAGTCCTTACCCAGGACCTGGGATAGGCAGATGTGGATGTTTGATGGTATTACAGATATCGTCGCAGGATGGAAGCAGTTCCTAATAAGGCTGCCTTTTGCAATTGACTAATAGCGAATTTGTCAATGCCAATGGTGTTCAAGTGGTGCTCCAGTTGTTTTGGGATTGCACCCAAGGAGCCTATTACTATTGGTACTACCCTTGCTTGCTTTTGCCACAGTCTTTCTATTTCTATTTGTAGGTCTTTGTATTTTGTTATCTTCTCCAGTTCTTTCTCTTCTATTCTGCTATCTCCAGGCACTGCCACGTCCACTATCCAGACTTTTTTGTCTTTCTTATCGACAATTGTTAAGTCTGGGGTGTTATGTTGCAGGTGCTTGTCTGTTTGAATTCTGAAGTCCCAGAGCAGTTTAATTTTATCATTTTCTATGACTTTCTCTATTTTATGATCCCATCAGTTTGTTTGTTTTTATTATTATTATTATTATTATTAATCATCGCACAGTCAGCCAGATGTTCAGACTGGATTTGGCATTTTTTCTACCTATCGAGTCCTTACCCAGGACCTGGGATAGGCAATGTGGATGTTTGATGGTATTACAGATATCGTTGCAAGATGGAAGCAGTTCCTAGTAAGGCCGCCTTTTGCAATTGACTAATGGCAAATTTGTCAATGCCAATGGTGTTTAAGTGGTGCTTCAGTTGTTTTGAGATTGCACCCAAGGTGCCTATTGCTATTGGTACTACCCTTGCTTGCTTTTGCCACAGTCTTTCTATTTCTATTTGTAGATCTTTGTATTTTGTTATCTTCTCCAGTTCTTTCTCGTCTATTCTGCTGTCTCCAGGCACTGCCACGTCCACTATCCAGACTTTTTTGTCTTTCTTATCGACAATTGTTAAGTCCGGGGTGTTATGTTGCAGGTGCTTGTCTGTTTGAATTCTGAAGTCCCAGAGCAGCAGCAGCAGTATTATTATTATTATTATTATTATTATTATTATTATTATTATTATTTACAATCATTGCAGCATCCCCCACTGTCATGTGGCACTTGGCCACTGGTGTATATTTACAACAGTTGCAGAATCCCAGGTTCATGGGATTTCCGTCTGCAACCTTCCCAGCCATCTTCTAAACAAGCAAAGTCAATTGAGGATGCTGGAATTGTTTAATGACCGTTTAATTCACCTAACAATAGCAGTGGTTCACGTAGCCTTGGCAGAAAAATATCATAAAATTGAGTCCGACTCACTTAACAATCAACTTGCTTAGCAACAGAAGCTGTGATCCCAATTACGGTCATGTTGAGGATTACCTGTACGGAGTTTATCAGATTGTGTTTTTTTTATAAATATTTTATTAATTTTCTAATTTTACAATCATGAGTACTTAATAAATAACGTGTTGCCTGTGCCCATTGGTAATTCAGTGGTACATATTAACTTTCTCAATACTACACCATCCAGTGTGATGATCCTCTCGTCTTCCGGTGCTGTGCATTTTTCCACACTGGGCAAATATAGTTCTTGTTACTGTGAATACATATACAATTAAATATAGACATGTTCATTACGTTTTCTGGTATTATACATAATATCGATTGTGTCAGTTTATAATATCTTTTCTAGCCAGAACATATCTCAATTGCATTTGCACTTAAAATCCATTTGTTCAATCAATATCTTGTTTTTCCCGCTTTTTAAAAAATTTAATTTCCCATCAGTGTTTAAAATCTCTCTATCACTTATAATTTTCTCATAATAATTTATATTTGGGTAACCAAAAGCTTCCCTTATTCAAACCCTTTTAGAATTTTCGTATTTCCTATCTCATAACAAAGTATAATATTCTGGTTACAAATCCTATCCTTCTAATTATAATAATACTTTTATTTCTAACAGTTATCTATTTTCTTAACCATATTCAAACATCTGTTTAACAGAATAATATCCCACCTACTAGGTCAAAATGTTCCCTTTCTTTTGTAAAGCATTTTTTAATAAAGATGTTATTCATTTTCTCTTACATACATATATTAATTTTTCAACCAACATGCTGTCTGGGTTTAAAAACACTAATGCATATTCAGTTCCTAATCCTTCATTCTTTCCTCTAGCCATTGATAAAATAAATCCCAAGTTTGGTAATATTCTGTTTCTTCTTTATCTTTCAGTCTCATAGATTCTTGCCAAACAAAATTCAAAATTAATGAGCTTAGATCTTAGAAGAATTTTTTCTCAAGTTTTATCGGAATTATTTGAAATAAAAATAGAATCTTCGGCAATACATTCATTTTGACTGTTGCAGTTCTTCCTAGGATTGATAATTGCAGATTCTTCCACCTTTCCAAGTCCAGTTTTATTTGTTTCAATAATTTTATATAGTTATCTTCATTTATTGTTGAGCATTTGGCAGATAAATATATACCTAGATATTTAGCCTTTTTCACTATCTGTACCTCTGTTTTTTCTGACATTTGTTTTTTCTGTTTATCTGTAAGATTCTTAACTATTACCTTGCTTTTTTCTCTATTTATTTTTAATCTTGCCATTTCTCCATACTGTTCTGTCTTTCCCCATAAGGGGGAAATGGAACATCTCCAAAGGTTCTTCTAGGTCTAGGACAGTGGTTCTCAACCTTTTTAATGCCGTGACCCCCCAACCGGTCGTAAGTCGAGGACTACTCAACCGGTCGTAAGTCGAGGACTACTCAACTGGTGCAGCACCGTTTGCAGAATGGAACTTTTGGCGGGCTCAGCAGGGCAGAGACAGCCTGGACAATTCCTATTGGCTTTTGAAAGCCAATAGAATTAGACTCTATTCAAGAGAGTCTATTCTATTGGCTTTCAAAAGCCAATAGAATAAAAGGGAGTAGCAC